AAATCGAACCTTCACTAATATTTACGAATAAAAGCTTGAGAAAAAAATAAGCTGGTTCAGAATATGTATAAGAAATATGGATCTTGAAAGACATATTTTTGCTTTAGTAAGATCATATTTATATTGATGGACAGACAGATGGATAGAGTTTATAAAAATTTTAAACAAAACTGCATAATCAGTTTATTTTTGTCAGTGTTTACGATCTTTTTTCTAAGTATCGATATATACCTATTTAATATCAATCAAAATATCGATGAAAACGGAATTAAACTCAAGAAAATCCGTTATAATCTGTGCGTAATTATAAATAACACCACAAAATTTCCTAGCTGTAACTATTAATTAATTAATATCTCTTTTAGTATTGATATGAAACACATCGGTGCTTAACTTAATAATTATTAGATATACTTTATAATATCTTTGCTTGCTAAAACGTAACCTAATTAATCTTCATATATAAATGAAATATCAAGTTCTGATTTTTCATTTACTATAAAATTTTATCAATGTTGGAAATAAAAATGAAGCGTTCGCTATTAAACTAACAGCCAGTTGGACAAATGTTCATTAAAATTTGCATTAGCTTAAAATTTGCATTATGGACGTTTGTGCAGCTGACCATAAGTATTATAATATAATAAAATACTATAATTAATTTAAAGAATACGACTAAGCAGGGGCGTACTCAGGTTCACGGCCAGAGGGGACAAATCAGTTTTCTGGGCCGTGAATATTAAGCGTCAACAATAGATAGTATCTACCTGAATCCGGCGGGGCAGCAACGGTCTCATATCCACCCTCTCAGTACGCTCAGTGTATTCTTGACAGAAAGGAATCTACTCTAGATTGCCATATAAAAATTGCTAAAGTATCTGATTATAGCACAATGTTCGATTTTACCAATTTATTGCCATAAAACTATAAAGATCCAACAGTTTTTCGATATTCGCCCAGATAATATAAACCCAGATGAGGAGATCACCTATAATATTATAATTACAACTCGCTGCCTATTGTTTTGTTTTTGTTATAGGGCAGACGAAAAAACGGATAATGAGCCAAAGTATTAAACGAGCGTTGAATGTTAACGATACATCGCTAACCATAGAACTATGTATGGTTTTTCCGAATTACTGCGTTCTATAGATAGCCAGCGGAGATTCAGAACTCAGAGGAGGTTGTGGTCTAAAACAGCCTAAAACAGGCAAGTGCGACATGGAGCATTAGATCTCAAAATAGTGCATTCCTGCAAGGAGAAAGGATGTTTCCGTAATATATGACGAATTCATTAACATTTCTTCAGTTTATTTTGAGTTCCACGTAGGCAATCGACTCCAGCAGACTGTGAGAAATTCAATATGGAAATTAGGGTTGTGGGCCAGCCCTTCCTGACCATAATGGTGGATCTGCAGTTGTGGATAGCGATACTTATCGTTTCCTTTCAACGTTTCATATAATAATTTTAACAATCCGATTTTTACCTTGCCCTAGGAACAGACTAAGTTTAGTAGAATAGAACTTAACAATCTAACCATCTTTACATTCCACATCTTCGTGAACTTCTTCGAACTTCGCTCCCATTCGACGAAGAGCAATGACGGCAGACACAGCCTTCGCCCATCGTTTTTTGATGACGTATCTCTTCAGCTTGGTCTTGGTCACATGCAGTTCAGTGCATAGCGCCGACTGGATCAGCCACGGATGAGTAAGTGTCGATGACGCTGGCAGTCGGTCACTATGGTAAAATTTATTTCTTTAGAAAATAATTCTTTCTTTCTTGGGTCTAACAATATATATTCATACCCACAGAACTTTATACACACACAATATCACTATCAATTAGAAAATTAGAGTAAGGACTTTCAAAATTTATCTCATAATAAATAATACATGGATGGGATATGGTCAAATACAATAAACTTATTTAAAGCACATGAATGGTCTTTTAATTTTTTACCTCTCTGTACATAGGTACTCGTTCGAAGTCAACTTATATTTATTTATTTTTCTGAATTGACCAAAACAAGCATGGTTCAAAAGGCGGACTCAATGCTTATAGCATTCTCTTCCAGTAAAACGTTGGGAAATATAATATTTTAAACTTTCGCGTTGCATTATATTAGATTATATAAAACGGGTATTTACGCGATAGATTGATAGTCAGGTTTTTCACCTAGCTATCAATCTATCGCGTTAGGTAATACAGGTTTCATAAAGCTTTTGGGATAAATAAAAATCGACTTCTGTTGTTATAGTACATAGTAGGTAGTTATTTTAAAGTCCTCTACTACGCCTCGATCCATAAGTAATATTGTTGTTATAAGTCTACAGTGGGAGTAAATTTATGCTGAGACTGTACTTAGTATTGAATACGGATTAACTAGTATGTCTTTTGTAGCACTACTGGGCCTTTATTATAATAACATTAACGTTATAATGGCGTCTGAATAGCTTTTCAGATTATATAGTTACACATCTTTTGTCATAGTTCTCGATATAAAAATATCTTCCAGTCGCCATTGTAATAAATGCCATTATTGAGCCCAGTCGTGGACTAACCTCATCGGAAGCCCGGGGCGGCAATAGGCCAGGCTCGACAACTTTTTCCAACCGTGGCAGAAACTTATTATTGCGTTTATAGTCCCGCCATTCTCCCGTACATTAATTTATACATTTTAACTTTATTATATTATTATGATTTTGACGGCAGGAACGAAGGCCCGGGGGCGGACTGCTTCCTCAGGCCCTCCTTTTTCCGCCACTAATTGTGCCTCTACTAGAAAGTGTTAAAATTGAATTAATGGCGATGCCATTCAGAGATATTGGTGAGGTTCCAACTCAGTCCACCGAGCTGACGATGGTTCAATTTCATAGAAATAAAATATATTTCTGTGGTCAATTTCATAATGGAGTGTTTTCTCTCAATACTTTCAAATAAACTTGCTATATTGAAGTAATTTGTAGGTATATTTATCGATAAAATAAAATAATTTCGATAAAATACTTTTTAATTGAAGAAAGATAATAAAATCTTTAAAACTTATGAAATATTAGATGTATTGTTGGTGGATAAAAAAATAAACCCTATCTCAAAAGCTATAACCTTCAGTGTCTGCTACAATTTCAGTTTCCAAACAGTTAGATCTCTAACTTGTCTTCGACTTTTGATAACGAAAAGAATCATATCTTATTTTGACCTAAAGATTTACTAAAGCTTTTAGTGATGTGATATATCTCAAAAAATAGCTTATTTTTTACTTATTCCATATCAGATTAAATATTAAAATAAAGTCAAGATAAAAATTGGGACAATATTAATCTGTGTTATGTAATGTCATATAGTTATTTAAGTTTGTGTAATGTAATTTATATAAATTCTTGCATGTGTTACGAACCTTAGTGGTTTACATGATGCAAGTAAACCAACTGATGTTAACCATAAAGTATAAAAAAAAAAGACTACCTTAATGCGATTCGGACCCAATAACGATTTGCTACGTTTCGTTTCATCTAGTACGGAAAGAATATTGTTTCATACATTAAATTATATTGACATTTATTTCAAATTTACGAGTAAAAATATAAAAAGCTTCGATTTAAAAAAAAAATCTTATGCAAAAACTAATTTAAATTATCTCTAATGGTGGGTAGAAGCACCTTTAAAACAACATGTGACAGGTCAATCAATGTATGGAACGTGGACATGATTGTTTGTATGTCGGTTATTTTATAGACAACATTTGATTTTATCATTTATTCGATTAATTAAAATCAAACAACAAATTTAAATAAAAGCCTTATATTTGAACAAGGTAAGTATATTATAACAATAATTTAATATTACACTTAGCATATTACGAAAATAAATACGGGGAAATATCCAAATAAGTACAACAACCAGGAACATTATTTGTATAAAGTCCTTTTGTCTATGATAGATAATGTTGTAAGTATGCATTTTTTCGATGCTTTTCATAGTTTATATTAAATCTTCAACCAACTTCTTTATTATGTCGGAGATGTTATAAAAATTGTACTTCTATAATTCTTATTTATTGTTGCAATTTTTTTTCGGGTTTTAAGAAATCCACCTACTATTATACTATATACAAAAAAAAATATTATTTTTAATGACGACACAATCATACAATACAAAATTTCAATGTGTAATGTTCTAATTAGTTTAAATTTAAAAAAAGTATTTATTTGTTATTATCTGTTGCACGTTCAGTCTTGGCCTTAATCTCTTCATACAGAACCTAAGTTATGTATTTAGGACTAGATTCATGAAATTGTCATTTTATTGCCATCGCATTAATATTACAAGGTATAATTATCAGAGAGAAGTTAATTTAATAGGACGTAACTGCAAATTTCTGTCGCAAGATAGCAGCATTAGTACATGTAAAACGCTGTGAAGCACAGAGAAGTGAGCAAAAAGTAAAGTGGTGAGCATGGTAGACATTTTTTTTTTAATTTTTGGTGAGAGAGAGTGGAATTCTATCCATCATTACCACAGAAATAAATCTGTGATCATTACCGTATAATTGGAAGTACGAAAGAAGGAAATATTCATTTCCGAGATCCGAGATTGTTTTCTACGTGTGTTAGTGCTGCCATCTTTGCCGAGCTTTGCGTACTGTTTTCTATTTAGTTAAATTGGTAACTAATATTTCTGATATCGAGTCTATGAATTTACTTTAAAAACCTGTTAAATCGATTAATTTTAATTTAAAAACAAATAATTTGAGTAGTCAGGTAACTGGAACTGCGGTCCCACGTGTTATTAAATGAAATATCTATTAATTTCATTAGAAAAATGTACAAAATCATATTAAGGTTTCCCGCGCAAATACACCTGTTAGTAGTACATAAGGAGTTTACGTACTAGACAGCATCAGTAAAATATTTATGAACTTTTCAACATGTAATTTTAATACTAAACCTATAACCTGCAGTTGCTTAATTACTTTTTTCTTTTGTCCCCTTCTCAATACTGGGGTAGGTCGCTATGGTGAACGACTACTGTTTCATTTAATCAAAGATATGTTGTACTTCACATTTCTTAACTAACTCATTAATAAATATAATAAATTGAGTATTTTTGAGATTATTTTTAATGGGACCTCAATGTCAGCACCTCACGGTCCCAGTTATCTAACTACTCATGTCTACGACAACTGTTTGCATTGTTTATTTAAATAAGTTTGCGAATGTCATGGCACTAAATACCTACTTTTTAGGATTGATCAAATCATTTGGCACTATGTAAATTGTCTGGGACTCTTTTCCTTTGCTTCTTTTCATCGGACGTTTGTCTTTGGAAAAACGCGTGCAGACTAGACATAGAATTTTGTGCTAGTCGATTCGATGGCGACCATTCTAAAGATATCGACTGATGTCTTCCACCGTTCGATGTGCCACCGGCAGTTCTTTCCGCTTCTTCGCCTTCGGTTTCTCCCCATTTCTCAAGAAGGTGGAGGAGCAAATCTTTCGTTCTATGAGCATTGTTTTCATCCCCTCTTCTGTAAGGCAGCTGTCTGCCGTTCTCCGAACCGTTGACAAGTTTATCTATCTTCTCTCTTCTTCTGTCAAACTCTCGGAAGAAGCTGTCCCGTTGGTCCGTTGGTTGATCCGGAACATCCCTGCTCTGCTGCGTTACTTTCTTTGATTTCGTGATAGTCGTTCGAGCCCAAGGCATCTTGCTTGTCATTGGTTTTTCGGGCTGTTTTTCTTTCAGAAAACTCGAAGAAATCTTGTTCGTCGATTTCGACGTGAAGAGTTTTCGTTCTACCTTATCATTCGACGCGTCGCCGTTGGTGATCGTCTTCGTGAACGTCTGTCGCTTGAATCCGTTGGGCAGCTTTTCTTTCGTCACTGTGGTCGTGGTCTCTTTTACGTTTTTATCAAGTTCTTTAGCATCGTTGTTGTTTGCCAGATCCGTGTTCATTGTCGACAGCATAAACAGGTGATCCGAAAGTTTTTTGATCTCCTCTGCCAGGTTCTTTCTGACTAGGACGTCCCGTTTCTTGTGAAGGAAGCAGGTGCTGTCGGAGGCTCGCCTCTCTACCGGGTTGTATCTGGACGTAAGCGTGCTATGTTCCCTCAGAGGCGGCGGTTCTGAGTCGTCCTCATCGAAGACCGCATCAGGGGAACTTCCCAAAGAGCTCCGCGGAGACGGCGAGCACCCACCGACCGAAGATCTCTCGCAATTTCCGTTAGTAAGGCACGTGATTTCGTGTGAATGGTTGTCGAACACGTAGGGCGAGTTGGGATGTTCGCTCCACCGTTCGACGAATAGTCTGAGGTTGTCTTTGGCGACGTCGAGTTCATGTTTGGGCGGGGGCTGCGGGGGCGGCGGCTGTTTGTTCACCGGTGGCCGTCGGACGAGCCACCGGTGGCGCAGGCACTCCGCCGCGCACGGCCGACACCTGCGACAAAGACCCTTGTTACTATCGACCCAACACCTAGAGTCGCGTGCGCGCCCAGACGAGCTCCGCTCACGTGCACAAGTTTGTGAGAGATGGATGAATGAATCAGTGTTGGTAAGGATAGATTACTTAGGGTGAAAAGTGTATTAAATTAAGAACGACGGAAAGGTTTTAGTAAAAGAAAATGAATTTTACTACTATCCACTGGAGTCTACTTTATATGATTTATCATATTAGAAGAGGGATTAGCGTTCTTTCGTTCAACTATACTACGTTCTACGAATTATGACTCTATAATTACTAAATAGTATTATAATTGTGAATACAATTTAGCTATATCTAGTTCACACCATGAAATCACTACGCTATTATTAAAAGCACTACTTCATGCAAAAGGCGGTTAGTGACAACTTAAGTGTTGGATAGAATTAAAACGAGTAACAAAGGGTCTTTATCAACAGACTGACTTGACATGGTATTGAATTTTCAAGACAGATTTTTGATAAAACGAAAGCATTCATTCCTCTAACCGTTGTTTGTCAAGGAATGAGACCGCTATGATAGTACAACATTCATCGCAACAAAAAAAAAACTTCGTGTTTATTACATTTTTTTTCGAAGTTAAGCATAAAAAGTAATAAAACACGAAATACTAGCTTAATTCATAACTAATCAGAGTTCATTTCATATTAAGTATAATATTTATATAAATATTAAACATATGTTTGAAATGAACTCTTAAGCGCCGAATGTTAGTTTTTACCTTACTTACCTTACTAATTCACGTTCCTTCCTTGTTTACGTAGTTAGTTAAAAAGTTACATTTGGCGCCCATATGTGATTCGTATTGATTCAACATTTAGATGCACTCCAACTTACTCTTTGTCTTTCACGAGAAGTTTTCTTATAAAGTCTTTTGCGTCCTCTGAGATCTCATTGAATGCTTCGTCGTCGAAGTCATACTTGGCCACGGTCACGTTAGCCATAGTTTCTATGTCCGTCTCCCCCATGAACGGCGATAAACCGGATAGTCTGAATAGTAGAAAATTATAAATAGATACACTTTATGAACTATTTCGTTTCAAGTGTTTGCCAGATAATTCGTTTGGTTTCCTATACCACTATTTAATATTTCCACCTTAACTGTGAGATATAGTAAATAATAAGCTTCATTATCAACAGTATTAGGACTTATAATTAAAATCATTCATATAATAAATTAATAGCGTACAGATAAAAGAGTCGAATTAACAAAGAAACCAATGAATTCAAAGAAAATACCATACTTGAAGTTACAATTTGTAGTAAAAGTTTTATTGTAAAATAGTTAGCTTTTGCCCGCATTTGAGTGGTATTGTTACTTTGGTCAGCAATTTTTAGAAGCTCTAATACAAATGTTTAATTATTATGTTTTAAAGTATTTAAATTAAATGATGAAACAAAAAATACCAAACTGCAAAAATAAAAACTCTTTGATTTTGATTTAGAACAGGTCCGCTTAACGGCATCTAGCTCAAATACAGAAGAAGAATTTTTCTTCCTTGTAAAAATGAAAAAGGAGGATGGATGTTTTCCATTTAAAACATCCATCCTCCTTTTTCACCTACGATTATAGTTAAAATTTCATCGAAGAAATTTTAACTATAATCGTAGGTGTAATTATGTATAAAATGAAGTTAAAAATCACTTACAGCACGTAACATATGACTCCAACAGACCACATATCTGTCCCATAACCGATCTGATCGAAGTTGACCACTTCAGGTGCAACGAATTCTGGTGTACCAAACAACACCTGCAGCTTCTTCTCTGGGTCGTAAAAGCGAGCCAAACCAAAATCTATGATCTTTATGCGATTTCCCGTTTTAGTCAGGCAAAGGATATTCTCAGGCTGTGGACAGAAGATTGAAATTGTTTGTAATAAAATAAAAAAGTTGCATAATTTTTTAAGATTTGATTTTGCATTTTGAGGATATTTGAGGTTACAACAATAAGTTTTATGTTTTCGAAGATGTAAAACTAAGTCAAACATGGTCTTTTTCATTGCACTGCCCTTGATAATTGTTTTGTGAAAATCATTTGATAACCATTTCAATTTACTTAGAGCTGATATTATCGAAATGCGAGATTCCAATCATTAACACCCACTCACCGATCTAGTTAAGAAGCACATTTCGAGAACGCCATATAATTATATATAATTTATATGACATAAGACTGTATGAGAATATTATTTATATTCTGAAATTAAGTGAAATACTTCTGTGATGTATTTACGTCATTTACATCTCAATGCTTTAGACAGGAAAGTTTTTAATTCAGCATGTTTCTACATCTCGACAAACATTTCGTATCTAAAATGATATTTGATGTGTAACAAAAAGAAATAAACCTTAAAATATTTTCGTTGCCGACAGAAATACAGACATAATAAACAATGCGTCGACGAACTCCCGCGCAAAATCTTTTCCGCCATTTTGATATATTGCTTTGGATTCGGCCCAAGATAGGTTTGAATAGAAGCTGAATGTAATTCGTTGTTTTAATTTTTATTTTTAAGCAGCATATTTTATTGAAGTGATGATTAATTTAATAATAGGTGACGTTTAATATTTTTATTCCGAATGGTATTAAAAATATCGTGACTTTTGTTGTACCTACTTGTGGTCTTCAGGTTATAATTGTAATGCTTTATCCTTTTCTTTGAGTTAATTTCATTAAAATTACATTAAAAAAAGCGACTACTCAGAGTGGGAATCGAACTTAATCACTTTGTTTTTTCGAAATAGTAAGTAATTGTAAAAGTAGAGTATTATCAATTACTATTTCGAAACCGAAATTTTTATTTGCAAAGTTATCAAAGTCATTTTTTATGGACTTTTGTTAGTTGACACTGTTTTTCCAATTAATTTAGACTGATTTTGATATTATTTAAGAATTGCCTACTTACTTTCATATCAAGATGTAAAATGTTTTGTCGGTGCACAAACTCAATGCCTTCGCATATTTGTCTCATGAACACCGTGCAGGCACGCTCTGTCAGCACAAAGTCTTCATCGATTACTCTCTCGAATAGCTCTCCTCCTGTTATTCTGCAAATAAATAAAGTTACATAAGTGAGAAATTGATAAGGTTCTAGAGACATGTCTGTAAATGAAATTTTGGTATAACTTCTCTAAATCCCTTCAACGAGAAGCTTAGGAATAAGTAGTCCAAATTATTTGGTGCGAGATTTAGCTATGGAATATGTGGCCAAAATTATTTTGATACCAAATGAAGCTTTGGAAAACGTGGTACAAATTATTTTTTCATGTCTATTGAAACTTTGGAATAAGTGGTGCAAATTACAGAGCCTAAAGGAGAATTTTTTTTTTTGGTACTTTATCCCGAAAAGATCTAACCACTATAAAGAAAATTATCATAGCACCTAGACCCAATCCTCTATCTTTCATCAAAGTGTCAGGCTTGAGAGTACCCCCGCTTTAGAGAATTAAGTTAATAAAATTGGTATTTTTTGCCTAAAAATACGGAACGTTATTACGGAACGGAACGAAATAGAAATACGGGCTCCGGGCCACGGGAGCCCCCAACGTGCGTTAGCAAAAATTAATAAAAACTTCCCACATTTCTTTTAATTTCAGAAATGACAAAAGTAAAAAAAAAAAAACTAGTAGGGCATGCGTTTCAAAATTGGCAACACCATACATGGTTTTTGCGGACTCCGGGTTTTCTTTCTTCGTTAAGTCATTTACTTCAACGTGAGAATCTCATAATAATCAATTTACGTACAATTCAAATTCGCACAGTCTATAATAATAATCATTTAACCGAACATTTATTTTTCGTTTGTGAAAAATCTGTACCCTCCATAAGGGCCCCAATAGACTCAAATCGGACCTAATCTGTGTCGACAAGCATCCATTCGTTTAAAATATCTTCGAATTTGACATTTAGATATCTAAATATCAATAATTAATAGAAAATAAAAATAATGATTCCACATTGTCCATATAGGTTAATTAACAGCATGAATTGGAACGAAACTAAGGGATGGGGTTGCCATAGATTTTCTTATTGCACTTATGTGTTGCTACATAAATTATAAAATATCCACCAAATGACGTTCAAATCAGAAAATAAACATTTTGGCGGCGCCTAAAATAAAATAAAATTATCATGTGTGAGGTCCATCTAACCTCTATCGATTAATATATACTTTATGCTCGGTTAGAGATAATTTGAATAATTTAAAAAAAGTTCTGCTTTTGTACTAGCAAACAAATCTAAATGACGTCCAATGGTCGGGTTGGTAGACAAAATTTGAATAAATAATGCAGACAGCACGCTATAAATATTTGTTGTGTTTAGTGCACGTAATTTCATTCTAACAAAAAAATGTGTATTCTTCGGATATAATTCAATCGTTTTTGAACAAACAAGAGTTACGTCATTATTCTAAGTTTATTTATATGCACGTTTTAAAACAAAATGGTGAGAGGTGTGTTTAACTTCAATGTCACTGTAATACACCTAATTGAAAACATCTTCGCCCTTGAGTTGGCAGGATATAGAAAAAAAACGTATGTGCTTGCCAAAAAACTCAAGGTAACAATTGGCGCCTATATAGGTATATCTTTAAATAGCAGATTCTTATTACAGTGATTTTAGTATAGAAGCGTACATTTAGGAGCTGATCGTTAACACTTTAGAATCGTTTAAGTAAATAAGTGTATTTTTCAAAATATCTTAAATATGAAAATAGTCAAGTTTAAAGCTAATTAAAAATTGAGAAAATTAAACTAATATAAGTAATTATTTTACTAATATAACAATTTTTTTGCGGAATTTTCGCTCAACACACATACATGGAAATATTAGATAACCTCTTCCTTTCTGAAAATCGGCTAAAATTAAAAAGACCAATCATCTCAATGACATTAATTTAATTGATAAATGTGTAATTTTTTTTAACAAGTAATTTTTTAAGTTTCTTGCTCTCATCTGATGTTATAACTACTTGTTTAACTAACTTGATACCTAGTAAGAAATTGGCAGACTCCATGGTTCTTTAGCAGTTCTATTCAAAAAACAGTATCGAACATACCTAGCCCTGGTTCAAGTTCAGTAATACTATTCTGTTATAAAATCTGTCTTGAATTTGTCGTCGAATGCATTGCTATCAGGTCATAGAGTCAGTCATATAAAACCTACTTTTAAAATATTTATTTTTTCCTTTGAAATTCTATGACGTAACAGCTCCAGAGATTAACAAAAAACATCACATTACATCGTGTAACCTTTAATCCTGGGTGAATGTTATTAAATGTTCGAATTCCATCTCAGAGTGCCAGGGACAAAGTGGATTTTCAAGCATTTTTCATTAAGAATATGTAACATTTGTTTGACGACAAACCTAACATCTACACATACTTCATTTAAGTACAAACGTGTAACATTGATCAAGGAATATGAACTAAAATCAAATTTCGATATTGTTTCGATCAATTACGAATAAGGATTGCTAAATGCAAATATTGGCCATGAGAGCAAAGTATTTCGCAGAAGGTCTTATTACATCTTACTCTCTCTGAGTCGAGAGAAATTTGTCGTGCGATGCTCTCATTTATGTCTGTGGGCAGCGTCTGGGCAGTTTGTTTGCGAATTCAATTAGTTTACCATCTGTTTGTAATTCAATAACCTCGAATAACCGCCACGAATTAAAAAAGCGTTTATAAAACCCACAAATGCTAAACTCCCAAGTTTTATAGAATTATGGTACGGTAAGGTACTTTTGATATTTAATATAATTTGCGTGTTAGATAGACTGCTTGTTTTTTGGTACCTAATTTGCATTGTATTTACTGCTATTCGCAATGGAACACAAGTTAATGAATACAAAAAACCAATTTAAATGAAGTCGGCAGCGGTGTCTAGTAAAAGCAAGGCTCCAATTGTTCTAGCGTTAAAATATTATAGTGTATAAACGGCGTTTTGTATATTAGCTTTTCTTGTGACATTGATTATTGAAAACTCATAGTTTAGTATCAAAAATATTGCTAAAAATAAAAGTAAATGAAAATAAAAGCAACAGTGGCATTATTTTTAAGTTAACACTACCTATTTTCCCGCGACTTATGTAGCTTCCTGTAGGTGAAAGAACATGTGAACAATCAAATCTTTCCTCTTGGAAAATATAACTCAAACGGATGTAATCAACATAGTTCGATTACATTCCGTTATGCTTTAAATTCCATAGACATCTTAACAAAGGATGATGTATAATTCGACCATTAAAGCCAAATTGAAGCGCTCGGTTTAATCGGAATTCAGATATAATTATAACAAATATTATTACAGTTGTATCCTTCGATAAATATGAAGCGACGATGCTTGCTATTAATTTACACAACTGTACTGAAACTTGCAGAGGACATGGCATGGTCGACCTTACCAATTTTTCGGTATACATTAATTTGTGATACAATAATGTAATGATCTAAACACACATGCATTTGTTGATTTTAGTGATTTTCAATCCTATAGGATTACATTATGTGTGCCTCGCCATCCTTACTCCATAACGATTATTTGGCTCTCTCCAGCAGTACAGACTCGCTCCGAATGGCTAAAAAACATGGGCATATCCACTCAAACTCTTAAGATGTATGTTCACTTCGGGGAATTGTCTCTTGGGTCCACTTTCACGGATGTAAAAATATATTTGACTATAATGAAAACAAGTCAACGCTAAGCACTTAGTAGCTCAAGATAATAAATGATTTTTCATCAAGCCTATGACCGATGTAAGTTGCAACTAAACCTCCATATTCGAGATCAAATGCGCAATTCACTGCGTCATTGAGTTCTTTTTCGAAATATCAGCAATAAATAAGGATATTTCTAAAAAACATGAGTAGTATCCGTAATTCTGTTTTTCTATCAATAGCTTTAGTTTATTGGTGATTGTGGGCGACAGCTGATCATGTTTTCTTCGATTAGGCACGGGGTAATCGCTGACGTAAATGCTCAATATTTTATAACCTCTTTTCAGCGTTCTGTGTTTATAATCGTGTATTGACGTAGGAGGAGCCAACGTCACTCACTATAGATACACGAAAATAAACAAAATTTGTTGTTTGGAAATTGAAAATTACGATTTTTCTGTAATTTGTACAAAAATCTATGTGTAAGTAAATCAATATTTATGTTGTCACGACAACAGCATTGTTCTTACTACCTATATCTTTGGACAATACTAACATAAACAGTTATTCATTGTAATTGCAATGGTTTAAGTAAAATTCCCTTTTTTTATTTCTCTGGATTATTTAAAGTTTATATATTAGGAGTACATTAACTTCTTTATTATTGCTTGACAGGCAGTATAAATCTTTGTTAATTATGCAATTGTACTATTTAATGACTTTTAGCATTATTATCAAAAAATATACGAGAATACTTCACTGTTTGATCAATCATATCCTTTAACCTTCTCATACTCAACAACTTTCGTATAAAGGTGCAGTTTTTATTTATGTATCTACTTATATATTGAGGAGAGATTTGATTGTTTGTTTATTTTTTGTTAACATTGCTTAGGCTTTGAAACTTCTGGACCGATTTAAAAAAAATATTTTACCTGCGGGAAGCTATATCACACGCGGGTGACATAGGCTATAATTTACGCGGGTAACATATTATAGATGTTCCAGATTGTTTCAATGGAAATATTAAATGATCGATTTAACACTAAGATTATAAATACGTAACAAATAAAAATCAAAATAATGACTGGAACGCTTCGGACGTCAGATTAAGTATGGCGTCGAGGATGGCGCCTCGCCAACTACGCTCGTTCTACTTAGGGTTGTCGACCTGATATTGAATTGAACCTTTAAGTAGAAAATAAAAATGCTTTAACTTCTGACTTTAGAATCAACTGCTTGTATGAAGCTCAATTACTGACAGTGAGTTGAACGAGTATCAATGGACGTCCTGCGATTAGGACTATTAAATATCGCATGATGAAACCGCATCATTAATTTATTACCTATTTACCTACTAATGGATAGGTATAACGAACGCTTAAAAG